GGTCCTTGGACCCTGCTATGGGGGTCTTTAACTCTCTGGCTAGGAGGGAAGGGGGCCTGGTTTAGGGAGAGGGAGATTTGGGGGTGCCCATTCCCAGGTATATGGGGGTGCCATGCTGCAAAGGAGTGGGCTGTGATATTTGGGGAGGGAGGCCCTCCAGTACAGAGGAGTACTTGGATGGGGGTGAAACTTGCTATCTTATTGGAGCATTCACTTTGAAACCTAATGATGAAGGTGGGTTGCTACAACCAGGAAGGGATTAAATAACACCCCCCACCCTTTTTTTGCCCCACCCCCCAGATTGAGAGCGAGTCAGGGGCCAAGATGCCTGCCAGCTTGGAGCGAATCCTGGGGGATCTCCAGGCCCTAAGGCAGGAGAATGCCAGTCTGGCTACCCGTACCCATGAGGCCTGACCCTGCCCCCTCTGAACGCCCACTTGTCTCCCCATAGTACTGCCAGACTTTGGGGACAAAGGTTACAGCTGCTTGGCCTCCCATACTCAGTTGCCAGGGGGATCTACTTTGCCTTCATTGCCAGGATGCAGCTGATTCTGGGGCATGGTGTTCAATTGTAGCAAGTGTAATAAAGTCCTCACTATCTGCAGAGCATTGTTGTCTGGCCCTTTAATTTGGGGTGGGAGGGATGGCTGGCAAAGTCCCCCTTTTTGCTCTGCTGTGCCTGGGGGGTAGGGCTAGGGCTGGGCCCAGCCCAGGGACAGGTGGTCTCACCCTGTGTGTCCCACTTCCTAATGGCTCTGCCATCCATTTTGCTAGGTCTACTACCTGCTGGGCTGGCTCCACCCACTCTCCTCTAGTGAATCCAGACTCGTACCCCATCAGTGGGGAGACAACCCAGGTGTCCTGGAGCAGGGGGTGATGGGACCTTGAGCCCTGCCCCAGCAGGTGGGAGGCAGAGTCTAGCTCTTCCTCTCCTGGCAGCTCCCAGTGTGCCCTAGGGCAGTGTTTCCCAACTTTTTCCAGCCCAAGGCACACTTACATTCATATTTCTTTTCTGCAGTACATCCCCCCACACACCTCCCCCTCCCACCAGCACCTAATTTTATATGTAAAGGTGCTGAAGGGTCTCCTCAGAGCTTGCACTTTCCTCAGGGTGTTTGCAGTCTTGGGGCAAGGATCTGTAGCAGGCTGTGCACACAGAATGCATGCATGTGGTTGGACAGCTGTGACGTCAGGGCGGGAAGCTGGGAAAAAAACAAACAAAACAGGGAGACTAGCTGAGAAGAGGCTAGCTGAAGCTGTGCTGAGAAGGCTTGCTTCTGAGGGGGCTGCTACCTGGACAATTGCTTCTAAGAGGACTACTGGCAGAAGAATTGTTGCCAAGTGAGCTGCTACTGAGGGCAGAGGAGCCACCAGCTAATGAGTATCCAAGATTGCCTGGTATCCTTTACTAAAGGAGCAGGGGTTGTGCAAATGGGTTCCCCTCCCTACTCTTAAGATCCCCGGGTGCAGGGAGTCATGGAGGAATCGGGGAGGGGTTGCTAGAGGAGGTTCTCTGGGAGAGCAGCAGGGAATCGTGGCTTTGTGGGAGCTCCAGCAGAGTGAGCTCAATAAAGTACAGTCGAGCAACACAGGGGAGCTGCCTTGGGAAGTGTCTGGGGAATGGTGTGATTGATTGCAGGCATCAAAAGAAGAGACTGGAAAAGGGAAGAAACCCTGGTCTTTGGAGCAGCCACACCTGAGGTCCTGACAGATACCCCCAACTTCTGTCCAGATGACGGCATCGCCACACCTCTTTTGAGGCAAAGCGAGCACCACTCCCCAGGGCTCCACTGTAGCCACTGCACAGTAGACTACTTTGCTGTGGGCAGAGTGATTTTGTGGAGACCTGGCTGATTAAATGTATATACCTGTTATAAGTTGCCCGAGTGTTAAAGTTGATAATACAGGCAACCCCTGTTTAGTGCTCTTAATTGGTTCTGGAAAAACCGAGCGCTAAGTGAAATCCAATTCCCCATTGGATTTCATGTAAATAAAGATAAGTTGTTTTGTACCACCTGCTGGCGCAGACCCCATGCTCCTGTCAGCCTGGGCCCTGCGTTCCTGCTGGCCCTGGGGGACCTGCCTGCCCAGGGATTTATGGTGAGAAGGCAGCAGGGCTCTGCCACAGGTTAAGCAGTGGGGCCACGCACATGCCCGCACCCCACTTTCATAGTTCCATAGTTGGTAGGGTCGGAAGTGACCTGAGCAGATCATCAAGTCCGACCCCCTGCCATGGCAGGGAAAAAGTACTGGGGTCAAAAGACCCCAGCAAGGTGTTTGTCTAACCTCCTCTTAAAGACCCCCAGGGTAGGAGCCAGCACCACGTCGCTTGGAAATTGGTTCCAGATCCTAGCCACTCTGAGAGTGAAGTAGTGCCTCCTGATATCTAGTCTGAATCTAGCCTCTGCCAGCTTGTAACCGTTATTTCTTGTCACTCCTG